GACGCATTGTGCTGCGCTCATTGTGTCTTAAAGGAAACAGCGTACAATGTACAATACGATGCTGAACTATTGCTACGACATGTACATTCAATTATACATATTAAATTATTGAAGTAGAGACGATATTCGCGTGAGCATATTGTTAGGAAACAGTCAATTTACCGCTCGAGTGTGAATGACAAAAAAAAGGCAAATTGACGGATATTATGTCCATTATTGGCTTAACTTTTGATGTTTTCCAAATGAATGGAGTTCGATTTCTATTTGTTATTGAATGCGAGGATTAATTTCATCTGTTTAGTGACGTTTTCAATTTTATTGCCATTCACGGGGCGACGTATGGACGGATTACTTCTAAAGATGTTAAGCAATATATTGGTTGAGTTGAGCCGTTGTTGACGAGCTGGCTCACAAGATGGGTCACGTTATACTGGGAACATTAAACGTCCATCCGACACTACATACACACGACACAGATACATCTATTATTTGACCTTTGTATTAATTATTATTACAATTACCAACTAAAACCAATTCTTTATATTCTAATCCTATTAAAAGCATTAACCTGGAATAATATTGAACACCAAACAGAGATCAAAGTTTCTTTTCCTGTTTTTAATTTATTTTTACATAAAAAACAAAAAGTTTCAAATGTTTACGGAGGAATTAAAAAAATATGTGTTTTTAAAAACGGATACGATGTGTCGTGTGACAAACGGACTGACACAGTGACAGACATCCTAACACAACAATAATGTGTTATGTTGTGGACTTATGTAAATAAGGCATATTACGTTACCGTAAGGAAGATATAATGTTTAAAGAAATACGTAATGAATAATTATAAAATAATAGTTTTATCCAGCGACTTTGCCTGAGTGGACTTCCAATTTTAGAGAGAAGTTTTTAAATGCTAGTTAATATAACCAATAGACCCTAACGTCTTTAGTCTGACACTGTTACCCAATCGTCCTGGTTTTAAAAGCAGTAGTAGCCTACGTCTCATCTTAATATCTATCTTAATGTAAAGTTGCACCATAATCTGCTAAGCATATTTTTATTGAGAGAGCAACAACAGGACACATCTCAGAGTATCCCATTAATAATATTAGTAAGACATTTTGTATTTAAGTTTTATTTGTTGTAAATAAACCGCCAAGAGGGGCGACTAATGACGACAGAACGAAAATAAAACACGAACCACTAACGGCTGGCTCAATAAAGTAGCGTTCACCTTTTAACATTATTACTGCGGCGCTCTCACATACAGGGGGTTCATTTAGAGCTCGGAGATCCGCAGGTGAACGAGGGAAACCATGACTGCACAGACGTGTAGTGTGTAGTAGTGTTTATTAATAAATGAATATTGTTTTTGTCTTTATGAGTCACGTTATTAACAGGTTAGCAATTGCAAGGATGATGCAATTTAGTTAGAAATGATTTATTTGTAATAACACTCCCAGAGGGATTCCTTGTCCTTAAAATTATAAATAAATAATTTAATAAAATGGAGAACAAAAAAATGATTACAAATGGGTAGTGTTGTAAATTTTTGTCAATTAAAATCAGTTGAATTTTAAAAATTATAATCACTATAAAATGTGACCGAAGTAAAAAGTTCATTTTTGGTGGTTATCTAATAAGTAATTGAAGTATATTATGTTTAATTTTATTTAATATATAATATTAGTTTATATTAATCTTAGTATTCTAACATGATGGAACCTGGTACATGTGACCAGCTCGCGAGCCAACACCAGGAGCTGACAATGGAAGTCATTAATCAGGATGAACTGGCCCCGGGATGCAGGTGAATTAATCACTTTGTGTATCGAGAACAAGCTATACCATACACACATACTCCGCCCGCCGGCTCCACCTGGAATAATATGACACTAACAAGTAACAACACTGATGAAATAAAAAATAACAAATGTATGAAAAATAATTAATTAATTGTTATAATTCAATAATTACATGAGAAGAAATTTCATTACACACTTACTCCGCCTGCCGGCTCCACCTGGAAATAATATGATACTGACAACACTGATGAAATAAAAAAATAACAAACATATGTAAAATAATTAATTATTTTTATTCAATAATTACTTGAGAAAAAATTTCCTATGATGCTCTCGAAAATAAGATAAATGGTGTAAAACTATTCTAATATATTTATATCAAACAGTGAGTATGAACAGACGGACCTGTTCTTCTTATATATAATAAGGTATTAAATACTTATTTATTATGTTATATTATGATATATGTTTTAATCCACACACAAGTCGCGTGAGTTTAAATAAATATTGATGGACTTAAAAAACAACTAAATAATATACATATGAAGAGGGAAGGTTTAATATTATAATAAAAAACTCTCAATAATATAGAAAAAGTCTATGTTTTATATTTTAGAATTATCTACCACCTCTCTGTACTCTTGTTACGATAAAAATGAATAATTGTATTGTTGACTATTTTCATATTTATCAGTACATCGTGTATAGTTTATTTGTAACTATATTTTTTTATATAGTATATAAATACCCCGTCTCCGTCTATAAATTGATTCATAATATTTATACAAGTGTATACACACAATCCAGCTTCATATAACTCAGCCTACTTATGTAAATTGATACAAAAGTATTATTTTTAGTTTTAACAATTTACAGACCATATTGAAACCGATTGTCAATTCTCAATAATTTTATCCTCTTTCATTATAGTATGTATGTATGTTATAATAATCTGTTCCCTCTTATCCCCGCACGGGACACGTTTCATTTCATCACACGGCCACTTTCGATCTCTGTAATAGATTTCTACTAAATAGGTAAACTGACACATGTCAAACATTGTTACAGAATTCATTTGTATTATAATATATATGCAGATTTGAATTTAATTTCATACAGAATAAGGTTCAGATTAGCTCGTCGGGATGAACACAGACCGACAGACGATACATTACAAGTAATCGGATTTGGAGGCGAGTTAACGAGTTTACTTATAAATATAACAATAACAATATTATAATAAACTTATTTTTATAACACCTACAAAAAATATTATACTATTATACACATTTACTAATATATTTTGTACAGATTGTTATTATTTCTTTTATTAAATTGAAGTAAATTCTCAAACGACTCCTGCATCGTACTCATCTGCTGACACGGTATTGAGATAATAAAAGATTAATTTTTTGTGTTAATGTTCTCGTTATATAGCATAAGAATATATATTTTTAAATAATATTCATTAAGAATGATATTTTACTTATATATAATTATATTTATTTAATAATGTAACGTTTCAATAATAATTTTCCAAACACATTTTAGTATTTATTTAACACAAAAGTAGACGTGTCTCATAATATAAACTATTCCTTCAATACATTACAATTGTACCTAATATTTTTCAAGCTCTCTATAATTTTACTGAAACACAATAATTGCTTAACCTTGTTAACGAAAAAATTTTAATGACATTAATTATTCATATAATCTTTTGAGTGAATTCAGTTACAAGTTATAAAGTCACAAGTGTAATAAGTAAGTCAGCATTACACATTTAATGAAACTCAAACAAAAAATAATCTTTGACATTCTAATAATAAGACGATTCAGATATTATCAAAAATATAAAAAAAAAATCAGTTATGATGTCAATAGTCAATACTATTTGTAAGTACGAGCATAGCCTTTTATGATTATATTTTATAACTATAGTAATTGTATTTTTAATATTGTAAATAGATAATATCAATTAGTAAGTTAAGGGTCACTTCACACTGTACCGTGTACCATCTGCCCGTGTGTATTGTACTTACATCTGTTTGAGACGAGGAGAGTGGACTACTGGAGCGGCAGTAATGACCTCTCAATGAATTAATGATCTTGAATTAATATAAGGACATCAATAAAATATATACAAGTATATGTTTGTATTATAATATGACGAGTGTTACGTACGAGGTACATATTGAAAATAAATGGACATCGCCGGGGAACCATCGTTGTATTGATAAAATATAACGAGTGACGCCGCTGACTCCGCGGAACGAACACCAAGCCGTGTGAACCAGAAGATTCCTGATACCACACAAGCTATGGAATGGAATGGTATTGCTATCCTAACATCGGGATAATCATTTATCATGTAGTCTTGGGTGTAGGACAATCATGTAGGTTATAAGTTTTAATATGTAGTTATTATTATAATATACAAATAAGTATGTTTTGTAGTTTTCCTGGAACCTCCGTTTGCCAACCTATATAATTCGAGTGTACGGAAACATTCAAAAAAAACAATTTAATTATTGATAACAACGCAGTCATTATGTGAGTTTGTTTTTGTTCACTTATTCTACTGATCACTTCTTCATTCACAATATATTCCCGCCCTTCCTCCACACTCCACAGACCTCTTAGTGTATTTTATCCACCTAACGTCTGTGGGTCACACACTGTCTCTATTAGTTTGATATCGCCTTTTATTTTCTACATTGTTCTGTCTCATGATAGAATAAAATGATTCAACCCACACCTCATTTAATATTAAAATGATATATAAAAATCATTATTTATATGAATGTTATTATTGTTAGCAGAACGTTTCCTCTTAACAGGCGCGTAATATTTAAATGTAGGCAAGTGTTCTGTGTGAGGGTAATCAGAGATGTAATCAACAATTTAAACCCGTAGTAATCCCGCCCGGGGGATCCCCGGCCATCACTCTCAGCATTTCATCTCCGGGATTCGCACACTTCCCGGAACACAAACATATTATTATATCCAACATTCAACGTTTTAATATTTATTAAAGTCCTCCTATTAAGTTCAGTTACAGTTTAAATCCAAATAATATTTTTTCATCTAATAGTATTAAAGTGTTGTATACAGTCGTCAGTAGTAGTCACTTCTTATTATTTATCAAACAACGTAACTTATTTCAGTAGTAATGAATATTTTAACTCATGTTTATTCTGAATGTCTCAAATCTGCGCGACTCTTAAAAGGTGTTTGTTTAGCGCGCTCCGGACAAATCGGCACGTCACTCTGCGCTCCGTCCCTCTCTCTCCTGGGGTGTACCGTATGTTGCCGTCCCTCTCGCACTAAGTAATCCTCGAGTAATGCCGATCTGGGATTATTTCGCATCATTTGTGCTGTGATTTGTTCAAATCGCTCCGACTGATGGCCGACGATTGATCGCATTATATTAATAATACGTTCCGCTCCGAGACATCTACAACTTATTGTTTACAATTCATTAGCGCTTTTGTTTAACTCACTCCAGATTATATTATTATTAATATTTCCACTGTCTGTAAGTACACGTTAAATAAATCTCAAACTGAATGATGAGTGATCTAGGTGAAACCTAATTCAAAAAACAATAATGGCTTCATAATTATATAGATAAAAATAATATAACAATTAAGCGAGACTTCTTTTAAAATTTAATGAACATTTATAGCAACTTTATAATACGGATTCTTAACAAACAAACCTCCATCAGGTGTCTGTAGTGTGTACACACACAAGCTGTCTCACTTTATATTATGAGCCACGATATAAAGATTATTATCCTCATGGAGGTGTGAGGACCGGGAGCATGTTATTATAAATATCATGTACACTAATAAATCAAGGATATGAAATAACATCGACCTGTCCTTGATCATGGGAAGTTTAGTTGAAGAACCTTCAGTGACATTAGATCTACATCCAACAACATGACTTCATCTAGGGAAGATTGTCGGGGGTAATGAAAGATCCATAAGTAACTATCATCAAATTATTAAACTCTTTCTGATGTGAAGTACTGAAAGGGTAGAAATTAAATTGATGTAAAATAAAAACTAAACATTTTATAAGAATTGAAACGATAATAAGAAATTAAATATTTTTGTCTACATGACTTACAGTCTACGGAGTCGTTCGGAGTCACTTTGAAAAAACACGAACTTCACGGAAAGTTATAAAATCAATTGTAGGTAATACACAAACAATAACATCAAATATTTTAATAAGAATAAAGAATTCTAGTACATAATTTCAGGGATCCACAGTGATTGTGTTATACCTAATATGTTTGGTGATTCTGAACCTTGAATTGAAGGACATTTACTTTTCAATGTTTGAATTTACATTTCATGAGTTAAATTTACTACATATGTATTTAAATTTACTATTTTACTTATTTACGTTAAATTTACTATTTAAATACACTAACATATAATTTCAGAAACGTAACAACATATTTTTTCTGAACTTTTAGTCAGTCCAAACATTATCAAAAAATTTGATTACAGTCATCGAAGAATTTGATAACAGTCTAATAAAATCTGTGTAAAGTTTCTCCTACAAGCGACCCTACAGGTCCCGCACCGCGTGTGTTCACAGAAAAACAAAACCGTACTTGATAGTTCAAGATAGTTTATTAAATAAGTATATGAATGTAAAATATTCCAAAGAAATAATTTGAAAACACAAAGAAAAGTAAACAAACAATAATTAAAATAATTAAAGAACCAAGGGTTTAGTACGTGTCATATTAATGTACCTACTCTGGTGGATGAGACAGCGGAGATGAATCTCATGTTGATAATGACTACAACATGTAGTAATTTATAACATACGTATAATAAAATATTTAGTGACTCATTACAAGAACCTATTAATTTAAAATGATTGTATCCCTACAGTTTTAAAAGTACTTCATTCCACTGTGTCTCGGTTTAATGTAACTTTGTTGTGTTAAGTAAATATTGTAAAACAAGTCGTTAAAGTTGGTCTGATACAAAGTTGAGTTTAACTATTTGTTGTTGACATAGTTATATATCGATTTACCTGCGAATATATAAATTAAGACTTCCTTTCCCTTGTAATGGATGACCATTCGTAATAAATTCTCAGCTACTTAAAACAGAGCACAGTGTAAATCCTATTTTGAAATATCAATGGCAACATTCATTGGATACTCTCACGTTTTATATAAATTTAAGACGTACACTGACATCTGTATTATCAAAATGAAAACATTAAGTGAAGTGTGTTGAGATAGCAATGTAACTAGCTGTTGATAGATGGCGCTTTTTTGAACCAAGTTGGACAAATGCTATATTTAACTGCAAGATGGCGTTAGTTGTCACCAAAAATGTTCTTGTTCAAATTTTAAAATATTTAGATCTCTATAATTAAACAAATATGTTTTATTATATTAAGTAATATTTAAGCTGCCAGTTTCCATGCTTGAACCTTACAAATCAATATACATATGTTGTCCCGACTTAATAATGAAATTAAGTCTTTTGCTTACAAAAACTTAAATAATTTAAACATAGTTATAGAATTGATCATTTTTTAAATGAGAAATTAAACTTTGCAATATAAAAACAATCATAATGAAAAACAACATTTTAACTGGTCTTTTTGTGTATTCACTGATTACATCAACGTCATTTGGTTTCGATTTAAACAAAAGTAAAAATAATTGAGCAACTCGTCTCTAAATTTAGTTTACAAATGAAGAAGAACACAAATTGAATGAAATGGCACCAGGAAGATACATGTAATGAATAAACTTCAAAATATATTTAAGTAGGTGTTCTTTAAGATGTTCAGGAAATGTCTTGATCTCTCTGGATGCCAACATCAGAGGAACCAACTTTATCCAAACAGAAATAAAACCTCAAGTTTATGAAAAACTATTGTATTTTTCATTCCGTACTCGCTCTAGACTAAGCTACAGTTTAATTTGCTCTTTCAAATTCCTAAACTCAATAAATAATATACAATTCATATCTATAGGAAGCGGAGGACTATGGACTATGATGAAACTCAACACCGTCTATAGAGACTTAGAGTGAGGCCAGTGAGACGAGATAAATATTGTAAACAAACGAAACTTTACCATCTTGTTTAAGAGTTACATACAGCTACTGGTTACCGAAAGATCACGTGTCATCAAAAGAGACATTAAGTTTACATATATGATGCCTAAAAATCCTTTATTTACATTTATTATCTCATCTCGTTAGATATATTATATTATAATATTTTTCTGAAAACAATGATATGTTCGTCGTCAGCTTCAGTATATATAACATATATAATATGTAACATTGATATCGTACAGAGGAGTTCCTTTATGTCTATTATAAACTGATTCTTTTGTAACTCGAACCAAAATTATTGATGAATTTCTTAATGATTTCGTTTTGTTATTATTTAATACAAAAGATTTTTAATGTTATATAAAACAAGAACTTTATATATTTTATTAGCTTGTAATATTTATAGCACTATTAGTATATGATGACTATTTATAATACATAAATAGCAACGTGGCGTTACTTACATGTATATTTATGAGTTCGGAGTTTCAGTAAACTGAACATTGTTCAAATTGCAACCAGTTACAGAGATCATAAGGAATATAACTCTTTTAAAAAAATGTAACGTTTAACACAATATAATTAACATTTCACAGGTTACAGGTTGATAGAATTTTTTATTGATTCATGTAAATAAAAATCATACAAATATTGCACAAATAATACAGACGGCGCCCGGTGTGGTCAGCATGTTAATATTAAACAGTTTGACGGCCTGTGTGTCCGTGTGTAGTGTTAACGTCCTAGTACTATGATAATTCGCTCAGTACGTATATCGTTCCATCGACGATCATTTCACAAACAAAAAAAATATAATTTTATTTACAATATAAGAGAAAAGCTCATCTCGTTAGTAGACAGCCAAACACTCAAGCGGCCACACGAGCTCCCGTTAGTATACACCTTAACACGATACACATAGCATTCAGAATAGATTGACAGGAAACGTTCCTTCACACGCGAACTTCAGACATACAATCATACGTATGTAAGCGATATACACAAGTAATTAATTCATTTAAAAAGGTAAAAAATGTATAGTTTATATTTTTTTTATCTACCTATCTAATCGTATACAATGAGAGCAGGATTCTCTACCTCCCGACCGTTACTACCTCCCCCCAGTTCACATCTCCACGTCTGTGAGTGAGTCGTACTTGTCCTTCACTTCCTCGGGGGTGAAGCTCCTCACACTGAGGGTGTCCGTCAGCTCGGTACTCGACAGTTTGTTACTAATCTTCGTTATCGATATCTTGGTCTCTATATCTGTCACTTCACACAGACTCTCCATCATCACACTCTTCTCAACCCTCCTCGGTTTCGGAAGGTTCTGTGTCCCTATCTTTGTACTTTTTAACTTCTCGTTGAGTATCTTGTTGCAACTCTTCTTGGACATGTCTATCGCCAGCGGGTCCTTTAATTCTTCTATTTTCTCTTCTGTTGGTTTGTTCTGCTGCTTTATCTCCGCCACCTCGGCGTTCGTGACGTTGTCTTTCTTCTTCCACTTCGTCCTTCTGTTCTGGAACCAGATTTTCACCTGGAAACAACAACAGACGTATTAAATTAAACAATAAACATTGAACAATGCTTACATAATAGATTAACATATGACATAATTAATCTTCTTAAACTTAAACTATTACAATGTTTTCCCTTGGTTGAGGTGCATTATGGTTTTAGCAATTATAACATTTTGATTATCTTTGGACCCCACACTAGGAGACCTATATCGTGGAGCCCAAAAATGAAAATATTGAACAATGTAGTGTATGAGGGAATGTATGGTGACAACAATGTATAGTATGTAGAGAGGATCCCTCCGAGGAACTGACGACATATTATACACTGACTAACAGTTAATTACTGATCGATCCCTAGTGATGGAGCCGCCGGGGACGTGGCTTTATATCGATATCGATAGGTACACACGATACACATACGATCAAGTTTAGGAGATATAAAAAACACAACGAACAGGTAACGAATTTTGTAAATTTATCAACGTGTCTGATTATGAGACGGCGCTTTGATTAACATTAAAACAGGACATATAATAAAAAATATATTAAAGAAAAGCCGATTTATAGAAATTAGATTTTTAATGTTCTCAAAAACATCAATAAATCTATTTAATAGAAGTCCATTTAAATTAATTATGTAATATTCATGAGATGTCTAGTATAGGTAATACATTTAAATAAAATTATATATCATATTATTAGTATATCATATATGTTTCTGTTTCTATCGCTACCGTTTAAGCCTGAATGTGGGCCACCGGCCAAGCTCGCCTTCTAAGTCATGGTAAACGTAACCCTATGTCAATATAATTAGGGTATATATTCTGTATAATCCGTGCGTCTCGCTCGTCATCTCCCTCTTCCCTGTAATTGCTCGGCAAATTAATCCCGCTAACGTGACATCTGACTTTAATACATCTATGTTGTAGGGACACCATGAGACAATGAGACTGTGAGGATATCACTCACGTTAAATCTATGAATATCTTAGTGTGATAATCAACAAAACAAGGTAACGTAATCTTTAATACTATTTATACATCGTAATATATTTTTCATACGGCGCGCCGTACAAATTACTTTCAGACTTCAGTTAAATGATTTCTCCTTTCGCATCAAAATATATAGAATAACAATTTTTACAATAAATTGAACTACATAATGTAACAACTATAATCCTTTTATCTAATTGAAATTGTTTATAATGACTGTTTATTGTTTAGTAATATTAAAGCCAGTCCGTAGCACGTGTGAACGCGTGGTCACCCCGAGCTCACCTTTACGTGAGTGCACAATGCAGTACACTCGGTTACAAACACACAACATAATTATTATTGATTGTGTATTATGATAGAGAGGGACGGAGGGACGTCCCGGGACACGCGGGAGACAGGGACGGGACGCACGGGACACGGGACACGGGACACGGGACGGAGACGGGACACGGGCACTGGGACGACGAGAATTAATATATATAATGACTCATAATTACAATATAATTATATAATTAAATTACGACAGAAATGTATTCAATATTTATAAAATGAACTCCATTGAAAACTGGACTGAAAGAGTTGATGCTGAATACGTGTGGTCTGACAAAAAGTACTGACAATATATTGTATATTTGCTATTTATATAGTTTTTATACAAAGGAGATATTACTTAAATACAGTTTTATTAAATATTTTGTGTTTTTTTTGTTCGTACACGAATTAATAAACATTCTGTCTTTATTATTATTTTTGTAATAATATTAAAGGATATTGATATAAATATCAGTTGGCGGTCATTAGGAATTATAAAATGTATAAGACTGACAAAAAAACGATAACAATCATAAAACAAACGATCTCCAACGACGACTGGTCGCTCCCCTGCTCACACTGGGGATGGATCTCAACGTGTATCGATAAATACGATTAAAATAACTTTATCGATAAAAAATTAAAAATATATTAATTTTAATCATCGTAAGTTCTGTATGTTATACCTATGAGAAATATTTATTTCCCTTAATATTTCTAAAATACTTATGTGTATGTAAAATATTAGGTATATAGTTTTATTTTAATCCAATATATTTATCGATGATTCCAGTCTGTGTGACGTCACTACTGGTATCTTAAATCTTCGTCTGAGGCTCGTTAATTTTACAATTATTCATTGAAGGTTGTGCGGCTTTTGAGGTGTTCTCCGTCCCTGTCACACTCGTTATGAAGTCTAATGTCAGAGAGAGATGGATGTAATGGATTATTAAGCATAGTTAAAGCCAGCCAAATAAATAAAACTGGCTTAGGAGATAGTTCAAATTGACATCATTTAATTAATTAATGATTTAATATATTGATGGCGTCTTTATACACAGATGGATATAGATATTATAAAATGTACAAAAAAATCTTGATACCTTTAGAGAAATAAATCGCCTGAGATAAGTACGAAGTATTTATCAGTTTAAGAACAAAACGATTATTAAGAAGTTACTCTACATAAAGAAATAGAAAGTAAACAGTAAAGTAAAGATGTTTAATAAGAGTATAATAATGTTCCTTAGATGTATATTTCTTTGCACCAATCCATCAAGACCTATATCTGTGTCGTGTGTGTGTGTGTGTGTGTGTGTGTGTGTGTGTGTGTGTTTAATCCGTCGTTAATCTCGCTAACTATCTGATATATGATAACTATATCAATTCGCTTACTTGATTAACCGCAGGGGTCATGACCCGCGATCAAAGGCTTACCCGCCGTTTGACGTAAGCACATTAACAACTAAGCCTCATTATGTACAGTTCATTATGACGACAATTAGCCTGGGCGAAGTCACGGACCCGGACAGACCTTACAGGAACACACACACACACACACATACTTAAAAAGATGAATTATTAAGAATATATTTCTAATAATTATGATTGTCACCATGTGTGTGTGTGTGCGTGTGTTACTATACCGAAATTTACAAGCCTTTGCGACGAAAAGCCTCCTAATCCTAGAACACCATACGTAGAACCACAAACAATAATAACAAAAATGAAATTAAAATTACTGTGCATTTATATATAAAGTAAGAGTTAAAAGAATTAGTCAACACTAGCCCTCTCTTGTACTTCTACTGCGACGTATTGTGTTAGTTGTACATGATGTAAAAAATATCTCACTCATTATACTGATCAATGTATCACACTCATCTTAATACATTACATATTTATTTTTAATATAAATATTATTATATAAATTGATATTTTTCGTGTCGTAGGTACATTTCATAAGCCGACCTCATCTGCGTGTTAATGCTTACATAACACTAATATTAATACCGACGTAGGTACATTATATAGAACTGTTTCAACAATCATTACCAAGTGTCCAGCGTCACTGTTTTTACTAACTATCACTGGATGTATGTTTTATTTCATCTTATAATTAATATCCATTGAGTGTGATGTAAGTTGTGATCTTATTTATAATATATTCAATGGATAGTTGTATATTAATATTATAAAAGGCACTCATTATAACCACGCTGAGGTAAGCGTGTTATGAATCTGAAGAAATCTCAGGTGGAACTAATATTGTGTATTGAATTGTATGATGAAATTAAACAGACGGAAAGTATATTGATCAAATGTGGGCAATACCTGTGTGGTGTGTGGTTTAAATAAACACACAATATACCTAACTAGTATACAATAAATAATGTCAAAAATAAAGTGAAATTTACTGTACCTAACTGTAAGAAACCTTTAAAAAATAAATGTATGTAGTTTAAAATTTGCATCGAGCATTTTGTAAAGATCATCCTCAACACACAACATACATATTACACACAAATAGACTGCTTTGTATAAGTGTCTTAATAGTAAGAGTATTCACTAATTATTATTATTTAATATCAATCATACTCAGTTTGTATTATAAATATTTCTTAACGCGTCACAAAAGTATATGAAACTCGCTACTTTCAATAACACCGAATAGCTAAAAGGAGTGAGACCCTTAGTCATTCGAATAAGAATAATTTGATGTAAATAATTAAATTAAGTGATCATATTCACGGGAATTAAAAGCGTTCATTCCGTGGTATGTAACATGTATGATATATTCGTTTTTAAAAGTGCATCATAATGTATGAGGGTATGTCCGGAGGTCGAGATTTCCCTCGACGTCTGTTCAGTGCCAACTCCTCGATGTAAAGGAAATAAATAAGTAACGAGATAACGTCAGGACTTGGAAGAGACGAGGAGCATCACACACGGAACAGAAAAGAATTGTACCGATTGTGTATGTCGAGAAACATATTAAGAATGTTAACATTTAATGCTATTAGAAGTAAGGCACGTCCATCAAACGCGAGCCGACGTCTTGGCAGTGAGAGCTGGCACTACACCAAATTATATATATATAACACACACACAAACAGAACAGCTCCTGGAGCGCCTGCCTGATGATAACTCACGCGCATTATCTGTTAATGGACGCTCAAATGTTCGCTATCAATGAAGAATGTTAGTGGCTCACACACGAATACTCGCCTGGAGATATACATACATTGTTGATCTAAAGACGAAGCTAGCATTTGTGTTAAATGTTCAACTAAATTCCTACAGTGAAATATTAATAACAATATATCAATCTTTAAAGAACCTATATACACACACATGTATACCACATTAATGTTACAAGCGATGAATGGATATATATAAATGTATATTATACATACAAGCCGAATATAATCGCTGACATGTTTACAGTGTACGTCGGAACATCAGTACAGACCGACGGCCGGACTCCGCCTATTTGATTCGTTGCCAAATTATTGTTGTGAAATATGTATCCAATGGCGGGCGGATCCTCACCGTCCTAGATAATAGTAGCCAATGAGCGCGGAGGTCCGGAGGTGCGCGCGCGCAGCTCCCTATGTCAATGAGACGCTAATTGCCGTTCACATCAGATCTATAATTTCATTCACGGCTCGATTAATATTATAGTAAGAGACGTTTAAACCTGTTACCTCTATTACTGTACAGTCAAATATAAAATGTGCATGTACAGTCATGACGATAATACATACATACCTAATTATAAAATTACATACAGACACAAAGAATTATAGGTATAGAATAAAGTACATTCAAGTTCAACTAGAATTACAGTGAAGTATTCAAGTCCAAGTATATATGTATAGTTATAGTTGTGTAGGTGTGTGTGTGTCCGCGGACCACCGGCGCTGACATTAGCATAAAAATGCACTAACACGGCCCTTAATTGATCTCACTTACTTATTGGCTGGACTCAGATTATCTTTATAGTTTGTACACTATCGATACTGCACTATATATAATACACACATATATATAACAAGCAAATATATATATAATAATATGCTGGATAAAACAGTGACTATTATATAGGTATATGTAACAAAATCTTTTATCTCTCGAGCAGACGTTTCAAGATAGCGAGGTTCCGTGAAAGCTTTTAAATAGTCCAATTTAAATCGAACAATTGTAAAGTCAAGAATCAAAAATTATTTTTGGCAAAAGAATAATTTGAAACACTAAAGTGATAGCGGCGAGTGTTCCAATTAAAATCCACTTAACAACCGTTTCTTAATTGTTCCCTGACTACCGAGGCTGTGCTTATACTAGAGGTGGTGGATGGTAGGTTCACACTAAAAACATGAACATCTTACACTTACATCAATATAAAAACATTTACTTATCTAATTGCTAATTATTTACTGAATATCTTATTAATCATACAAGTCTGAACACGGGCTTCTAATTCTGCCATTTTATTGTCTAGACATAATTTTTATTGTGCTAGCAGCTTCGGAACATATAAAACACATATATTTATATTTTTTTCTCTTTAAATACTATAGGAGTACGATGTACCTTGTACATGGAAAAGCTTGTGTAATGCTTTACTTCCAATGTCTTGCTATTCATGTTATATTTTTTATTTACTTATAATATATTTATACACAATCATCACATCAAACGATACTATTAAAATGTATTTATTAAAACCTTTTTTCTTTATGTTTGTAACACATATACAGACTCTTTGCTCGTGTCCTCACACTGGCCGCAACGTATTCTTTTTTTCCAAATTTCAAATAATCATTTCGTGAAGTCATACGTCGTTGTCAATTGTCTCAAAAGCGCATCGATTTACAAAACAAAAATCTGTCAGTATGTTATGAGCCCCCATTCGCTGTAGTTCGCTCGGTTCGATTTTATGAATTTTGAGTATTCTGAAAGAAATCGCCACGCTGCGTAAATCAGTCATAAAAGTCATGAAGATCAAATTACGTAAGTAGCTTTTGATAGGTTAACTATCAAAATTAATAGTCAAAAAGTTGTCTCGACACATTTCACTTTGACTGCAACTTCATGCCACCTTCATGCGTGGCGTTGTCCGCCTTCAATAAAAACGTCAATTATTATGAATGTAACTCAATGAAACTTAAACGTCCACTTATATAAACGGTATCTGTTAAGATGAATCCACAACATGAGAGTCATTTTGTAAATATAGCAAGAGATCGTTTTCCCTCAACATCTTCGACGGAAGACAACGAGAGTGTGACCGAGTGGGCGGACGTGCGGCCGGTGATGCAGCCGCGCCTGCCGCCGCCGCAGGCCATCATAGTGGGCTCGGTGAGGAAGAGGCGCGGGAACCTGCCCAAGAACTCGGTCAGGATACTCAAGAGGTGGCTGTACGACCACCGGTACAACGCCTACCCCAGCGACGCTGAGAAACTCGCCTTGAGCCAAGAGGCCAATCTCACCGTGCTACAGGTTAGTACGAAAACTATTTCGGAGCCCTTAGATTTTCTTCTTCTTTTACCTGGCAATTTCCCAGCTTCAGCCAGGGTCTGCCTTATATGTTGTGAATAGTTTTGGCTAATTGTTTTTACAACCAGCCGCCTGCCTGACATCAACCCTCTTTGGCAATGCATTAATCAGTGATATTTAAATACTTTTTAGAAAGTACATATGACTCCGAAAAATCACATTGGTACTTGCCAGGTCCAGGATCGAACCCGCGCCCTTATGCATTAGGGGCGGGCCTTTTAACCACTAGGTCACCACTGACTAAGAGCCCTTAGATTTTCTTCGAGTTATATTAATAGTCTTAATCGTGGTGTGTCGTCAGGTGTGTAACTGGTTCATCAACGCCCGCCGCCGTATTCTGCCGGAGATGATCCGTCGTGAGGGTCACGACCCTCTACAGTACACTATATCTCGCCGAGGCCGCAAGCAGCCGGGCCTGGGAGTAGGCCCCGTGGGGATGGTGTCGGCCTCCACCTCAACAATGAGCGTCATGCCCGGGAACGTGACCGTTGCCGGCTGGGAGGGAGTAGAGGTTCAGGTAAATACAATCATCATACCGACGTCTAATTTATCTTACAAAATGTAGTTATTTTAGTATCAAAACGTGAATTTCTGGTACCGAGTACAGTTGGCCATTCCTATACAAACGATCGTCTGTTGTGTATAATGTACCATTCTCAGAACATAGAACAGCCTCGCGGGCATGACTACGGCGACGGTTTGCTGGTGTACCGCGAGGGGGACGAGCTGGGGGACGGGGAGGAGGGGTACTCGAGCGCTGTCAGCGAGGAGGAGGTGAAGTACGACCCCTCGGTGTGGCAGTCCGTTATACGGTACGGACCGGAGGAACAGGACCTACATCATATTAATAGAGGGTTAGACATGGGAACGATTGTTTTTTATTGTAATGGTTGGTTGTATTAGAGCCATGATATGTTCTCTGGTTGTGATAGGTCGTCGGTGGTGAGCATGTCGAGTGAGGGTATGGAGCTGGTTGAAGGGGAGGGTGTGTGGCAGGCGCCGGCTGTTAGGAGGCAGGTGAGCCCGCCGCCACCACCCGTGGCCGTGGAGCTGGAGGTGGCCACCACGGACATGTGGTGCCGCACTTAGACGACACTTGTCCCCGGAATGCCATTAAAGTGGTCGTAATAGATCTAACGCGGCATGGCATTACCGTCACGATGGACCTGGCTCGAATGCCATAGTTAGACAAAAGGGATCGCCTGAACTCCATGTAAATTAACTTCCATAGAAGGCTCGTATGACAGTTTGTATATAGTAGACTCAGTGCATAGTAACGGTGTGAGCGAGCCGGTGGTAGGATGAGTAGTAGTTGGTTGGTATGAAGGAGACGTCGGTGTTAAAGCGCAGGTAAAGCCGTGTAACGTACGTTGTAAAGTCGGAAATCAATGTTATAATGTTAAGAACTGTTGTTTCTGTTGGACGCAAGATGTTGTTGGTTTTGATTTGTTAATAAATGTATGTCATTGAAACGTTCTTTGATTACTCGAGACGCTGTTTTAACGCCGGCATCACCTGATGACCAGAACCATACGTATAACATTAATATGAAACATAACGATCACGTGGGCGCTTCAGATGCTGCCGGCTATTGACAAGGAAGACAAGTTCAAATGTCTGTATCTGTTGGTGGAGACGGCGGTCGCGGTGAGGCAGAGGGAGAGGGAGCAGGAGGACTTAGTGACCGTTAAATAAGACATACACACATACAAACATATAGTTAAAAATACATTTAGAATAAGAAGAATATAATTGTTAGGAGTGTTACTCACAGTTATTGAAATGTAGATGATATAAACACAGAGTGAACTAGCTTTATAAGTACAGACAGAGATGCTCTTGGAAGTGTATTGTAACACATAAGAGTGAATAGCAAGCGACATTGTTAGGTATGAAGTTGTTTAAGTTGAAATATAGAAGTAAGAGATTGTTTCTAAAGTAAGCGATAATTTTTGATATCAAGTCCAGTTGAGACTCGCCAATAAAGTATGGGATGCTCTATTAAGAATCTTTTTCATTTGCCAAGTTACGGACATTCTGATAAAATCATTATTCTAATTGAATAAAAACTGAACGGGTTCCAATATTATTACAAATTAAATAATTTGAGGCCTTTAACATTAATATTATACGAAGACTGAAACTTGTATGCTTAGTATAAGTATACATCGTTACTTTACACACAGAGTTTGTCGTTTCTAGTGCAAAAAAGCTATGTTAATATGAGAAAAATAATAAATAAAATACTGCACACGCTCCGTATACTATGAAGACACAAACTTGTAGTAAGTAGAGAGGATATATATTGTATACCTTATTATTATATATATCGACGTGGTCTGTCTGTTTCTTATAATAAAAGTATCGACTTCCCAACCATCTCCGGGCAACAGACTCCCGACCGACCCTCACTTGTATCACTGATACATTTTTGTTTATTTTCCTAATAACATCTTTATTATTTAATATGACGAGCACTATTTTGTGTTTTCCGTGTAATATGCTAGTTGTTTTAAAAAAAGGCATTATTTTATTAGCAATTTAGTAAACAAATAGTTTTATACACGTTGTATACATTGAGATAGTATGTTTGTATGACGTCCTTAATATAAAATTAATTAGCATAATATATATATTAATATTGTTTATGTAATTATCTTTATTGTGTATAACGTCAATGCGGTACTTGTAAAAAGCTGCGGTGAGCTTTCATACAACCACGATACGAAAAACATTTGTTCTGCATAGGAATAATTTATATCAATTTCTTTTAACTAACCGAATAATTTACCTCAAAAAAAATACTAATTTAATAATTGGAAAATATAAATGAACAGTAGAAGAGATATTTATACATAAAGACGTTTTAATTTCTATATGAGAGTACACATATATAATATATATATTAACATAGTTTAAGTCACTGATTAAATCACAGACATACGGAACACTTGCATGAAATATAATATAAATGCTACACGGTAATCTAATGCTCTGGCTGCTCTGCCGGGCGTCTTTTATATTACCCCCTCTTATTTTATCTACTGTAATACGACACGCAATAGGTTAACGAAAAATTAATTAATCTAATAGGTTTCATTTTAAATATGTATATATTTATATAGAAAATTTATAATATATTCATTTGAGTTTTGCCGAATCTTTTACAATATAACTATTTTATGTATGCTAATATAATTTCAACAGTTTGTCTTTTCAGACAATCTAAATCATTGTTAGGAGACACAGACAGATATACATATAACCGTTTGTTGATTTTCTTTGTATTTAAGTACCTATTTAGGAACTTTATGTTATATCTATGATCAAACCGTGTGATCCACAGTCCGCTGGGAGCCAGGGACTGTAATACACTACTACATGAACACGTCATTAAAACACTGAATGATACTACTGGCTTGTACATCGAAATGATTTTGTTAAACGATGACCCTAAATCACATGCTTGCTTTACTTTTGACGGCCGATGATAATATGAAAATCTTTATTCCGTTCCTTTATAGCGACTTATAACAAGAAACTTTATATAAAAGTTATTCCTAAAAAACCTAAAAATATATGTTAATTCATTCACTTATAAAATTAATCAAACATAATACTTCTTTTTCATTGCAATTAGTGTTCTCTAAGTCAAACATTTACTTAGCTGTTATATTGTACGCCTATGTATATGATTCATGTTTTAGTAACAGATATACAAATAATATATAATGTTATTATATAATATGACCGGTCAGCCTCCGCCTTCGAGACCGCAGGATGCCGAAGACGACTGCAGCGCATAGCGACCGGCCGCAAACACGAGGACAGACATACACACACTACATATATATATATATACAGAGAGATGACGGACATATAACAATGAGACGACGAACACATTTCATAGGATGCTGCCTTAATCTCCTTACTAATATGATAAAAACATTATCAACTTAATAAGCATATTTAAAATCAAATGTTTCTTTTATAAATGGTATTATTTGGAGTCGTTAGTCGTGACAAACTATGTGTCAGATTAATATACTTTAGAGGTTCTAAGAGCACTTGATAACAGATATAGAGACGAGATGGAACATTACTAACATGAGTGTTGTACGGTGGAGAGTACACCATACACCATACACCATACACCGTACACATAGCGTGATATGTTACATATAATTATGATAATGAAGATCCGATCGATACATACATACAGACCACACCGCGGCTCCGACACATTGATGTGGTCACACACACACACACACACACACACACACATAGATATAGTAGAGTACAGCAGGCAGCATAGCGGCACTTGTGATGTATATGTTACAACAATACATCATGAACCGTTGATTGTTCGATAATGATGTACCTACTGCCGTTACGATCGTTACGAGCTGTGAGCTGCGACCCCCACCGACCCCAGCAACCCCACGGGTTACTACACGACCACAGAGGAAACAAGACTACCCCAGGGGTCGCGACCACCACCAGCTGACTTATACTGTAGACATATAAACATACAATGATGACCAAATTAATATCACATTACTGTAATGATGACACCCAGCCCTCCCTCCGTCGTAACGATAACAAACGAACTCCCGCGAAATATGAAATAAAGATGTATTCTAAACTGCAATTAATAACGATCACCCAGCCAGCCCTGGAAAAACTCTTCATAGACACAATTTAAGAGAACTCATCATTAAAATAAAAGCGGAGGTAACGAGCTCCAGCCCCCAAACGTGCGTTATCACAATCGAGGGCCGGCGGGGGCCCGCGGGGAGGGGGGGGGGAGTCAAACGATCAGGAGTGAACTTAAAGCAAGTATTCATTGAATAATTGTCGTGAGTGAGAGATAATCGTTTTTATTGTTCCCGCCGTTCAGAACGAGACGAGCAGCTTCAATAATGAAGTGTCGCTCTCATCACAAAATATAATGATTACATAACACGAGGTGAGGTGAGCCGAGATGGAAACGTTCGCGGCGGTTCACAGAAATATTATTTCAGGAGCGATATTGAGAGCGTTGAAAGGCTTAACGCGCTTCTTACAGATTTAATATTACAGGGAAGGCGGCGATTAGCGGACACGTGTCGAGTAACATAGAAAACAAAGACGAAGACGGGGGACACAGTTATAGCAACACAAACAACACTTGATAAAGAGGACTCGGCCGGCCGCGCCGTGATACATGTATCATGTGAGAGCTATTCTTAATTCCCGTTTTTCTTAGTTTCCCTTAATCCGTTCTTTGAAAGCCGTTCTAATATATAACATATTAGTGTTCGGTTGTCCGTCTGTCGTGTTGTTGACTGTTTTCGTATTCGTAAACAAACATTTTCCGAGAAGGAATTATCTCCCGTCTTTGATATCTGAATAACAGACGACACATTAGTGAATTGTGGGACGATTTGATACATTTTTATAAGTTTTATAACACGTTTGATGTTCTCGGTAACTGGTGAGTATTAAAGACATTCTTTAGAGATATTTATGTTAATAAAGTAGTGACATCTGCGGGAGACTGAACAGTTATTTAATGAGGAAATGTTGAATTAACATTTGAACTTCTTTATTATATTAATGTTAAAATACTTCACTGTTTTATATATCAATCTGAATACACACATGATCAACGGAGGCGAAACTTGTTCGTGAGACAGATAAGGCTTGAACAGAAGACTAACAAACATACAAAACTTAATGCTAAATAAAACATTATATATAAATAGATCAATTGTTAAAATATATTATAATGCAGCATTTATTATTTGTATCATAATACATTGTACAACACGTTCTGGTTACAGCAGACGAGATGAAAGTGTTTAAGTAGTTTATTATATCCGAAAACAATAGGTTTATTTAAATAAATACTCGCGAAAATCGTAAACAGTCCGCTCTATGATTCATAGGAACATAATAATTATATTATGTATCTATTAGTAGAAAAATGACTAGATGTGAGAGAAAGATAATATAAAAACAATAAAAACAAACTTTCATTCTCATAATAGAGCTATAATAGAACGGACTAATGATTAAAAGGAAATTATGAAGATTTTAACAAAGGATGCAATTGGCACAGACAAGGAAAAATGTGAAGCGTGTCTCATTGAGAGGAACGGAGCGAAGATACCCGGGGGAAGACGGGGAGGTTAGGACCGGGTCAGAAATACACAAAGAATATATTGGATGAACCAGGAATGTCAAGGGTCAGGTTGGAAGACATCAGCACGACACAAAAAATTTCCTAGAACAGCGCGTAAAATGGCTGGAGTGATCTAATTCATCATTACTACGGTTTATATATGAAGCGGTACCAGGAGTTCATAAACAATAAACAGTTTAAGATATCCTTTAAGTTATCGGCCACGTGCTCCCAGTCCTTCACCCGGCCCACGGGTCACGTCTCATTCCTGGCATGTGACGGTTAAATAACATCACTGGAAGACGCCGATACATTTCCGAACAGCCCGTACGAAGACCATTTCGCGCCAATTACACTCCGTGTCATACGCGACGGCCGAGCGCGCAAATAACGCACACAGAAATAACCTTTAATAGGCCGCTTTTGAAGACTAAATCGGCGTGACGGCGGCGGTGGAACGAAAACTATGGGAGCGTGATACTAGAGCCGTGACAAAGGAAACTGAACCTTAATACATTTATATAAATGAGAGGATCGCGTGAATCAGGATCAAAGAGTGAGCCACATGGCGGCCGGGGACGGCGCACGACTCGTTAAGGGGAAGACGATACTAATAGTGATATTAACAGCCGCGTGCGGCGAGAACTGATTGTTATAATATATAAATATATATTACGATAATGATTTAGTACTGTAACCGTGTGCTTTAACACACACACTGACATACTGTGTGTCTGTGTTCCTATTCCCGTTCCTCAGTGTATGTCTGTCTATTCTCGTGTCTTCAAAACATGAAAGGTCATTCAAGTATGACCACATCATTCCTCCGTGACCCAATAGTAGTCAGGTCACAGTGTTCACTCATAGCGCACACAGCACGTCTCTCCCTCCCTGTGAAGTCTGTATGTATGTATTTGTATCTGGCCGAGAATAACACTGAATATGCTTTACGAGATTCCAAAGTGAAGGGAGTATTTTAGAAATTGCTGGGGTTTGACATCGATAGGGATGTGACGCGAGCGGTGTCGATATATCGATACTATATTAACGTCATTATTATTACTACAACATATTCTAATATGCTAATACTCTATATAAGAATACATTTCCTATAACAGACTGTTATTTTTGATTATAAAAATAAAAAATCTAAACGAAATCCATTCCGATCCTATTATTCCAGATATTATTGTAAAAAAAGAAATTAATAGTTCCGTACGTCACAAGGTATGTCAATATTTGTCAATTTATTTCTTTTTTTATAAATCAAATCCTTCAAGTGAGTAATATTTTTAAGGCGCATGATTGTGTTAAATCAATTATAATAACAAGCCGTGGCTCGCTCCAACACTAGCCACTAAATGAGTACACACAGCGCAAACACGAGATACACTCAGAAACGAGATAAACATTCGAAAGACGACCTTATGTCTAACATAATAAGAGTCATCATATCCAGTGTGTGTGAGTTAATAAGTTTGTGTTCCGTTAAGTGGTCGATGAGTGCTCTCGTGATTTTATTTGATTGTTTATTTGTGATTCCGAAGGAAATTAAACCTTTAGGAGTCGGAGACGAGGACCAGCTCCGAGCGAGGAGAGGCGGGAGATATGGACGTACACACACACACACACAAACACACACACACACATACTGTCAAAGTGAACGTGTCTATAATAAATACAGCGACAGGTATTGTGTATTTTATTGCCTCCATTTGTCCCTTTTTATAGTTTTTTTTTATTAATTCTATTAACATAATGACGGACGTGGAGCGAATTATACATATATGTTATAGTATTGGAAGTAATAAAATATTATACAACACTGTGGCGCCTACCGTACGGCGCGGCGATCACACGTAGATACATAGATATAAAAGCATCTACATCTATAAATAATGACATACAGCTCGTATTATTAACTATTAATATATTAAAATCCTTTCATCCGGTCGTTACTCACCGCACATATTATGATTGTCACAAACACTTACGCGGGATCGGGACTGTGTTTGGATAAAGAAAGGAAAGGAAAGGAAAAGGAAAAGAAAAGATATAATAAGATAACAAACGTCATAATAATAACTGCTAGTTATTATTTTATTAAAGTTAAAATTAAACTGTTTTTTTTTCTATTATTTCTATTTCTATAATAATAAAGTTTCGTATAGGGTCGCAACAATCAACAGGCGACCCGTCACACGGGGGGGTGATGAGAGTTTCGGGTCTGCAGATATTTGTACTAATTGATCATAATTAATGATGATTAAAACGTACTGACATCTGAAATACACGCTTACTAATAGCTTGAATCTTTTCGCTCAATACGCGGAGTTAGCAGTTTTAAATTGCTAAATAGATTATATTAAATGAAACTAATATTATTTAGACGCGTATTTTATTATTTTAAAACTACATACTCCCGACGTTTCGATTACTTTGCACCAACCGTGATCACGGACAAACAAGATGTGTAGTAATCCAGAAACTATTAGTTTCATTTAAATGAATAAGTACTCGCGAAAGTCTTAAATCTCATAAGATAACATTATTTGTTGAGTATGTTAAATAAACGGCAGACGCTCTGTTTGTTGTATGACGATGAAACTATTGGTAAGGAGTAAGGACTAAGATGACTCCTTAAAGTCTGCATTAAATGTAATTATAGTTTAACAACATATAAATAGTATTTTTAACTTTAACCAATGCACGTAGTATAGTTATAATAACACAGTAACCCATATATTAACTCTTTAATCCGTGTATCTTTCTATAAACAGTTAATTTTAACCGTCCGTCATCATCACAGCGCCATCCATCACGTGTAATGAACTATTTATTAATTTTAACTGTTACGTGATGGACTTTTATCACTTATTAATATTATATATAAACAGTTGGTCCGTCTGTTTGTTTGTTGTACTAAATATATGACAAAAATTATTAAAGAAGAGATGTTGTTATAATTAAACCATATAATAGGTACTAAAGACCGGAGAAATGTATAGCATTAGAATGTAAACTTTATGCTAAGTGGTTTAGAGTCTGTTTTCAAACGGAAGACTCCTCGATAATAGTCAATTACATCCAAAAACGATTCCCTCTCAACATGACCGTTTGTATTATTAATATTCATTCTATTTTGATTCTTATATCTAGGTATTAAGGGTCACTTACCCGTGACTATGGTTCATAATACGTTCATAGATCACGGCGATGTTCAAATTTATAATACATTAATCATCACAAACCATACATTTGTTCTACTCTATATTTAATACTGAACGAGGAATATAGAGAAATATACAGGAATACAGAGGAATACAGAGGAATAAAGAGGAATACATAGATCATAGCCAATATAAAGATGTCGGAGCTCGTAAGGAGGCTGAAATATTAATAGGACGAGAAGACCGCGGGGGAGCACAAAAAATAACATGACGAGTGACGTCACACCTACAGGGGGTTCACGACATAGACACACATATGGAAAATATATGAAATAAAAGGTATATAATGTGATATAGCGTGAACAAATAATATACAATGAGAAAAACATATCACTTGTTACTTGATTTGTGAAAAGCAAACTCTTTACTTCAATATATATTTGTTACAACACACTGTATAGTACAGTCAGCTGAAACGACCCGACCTGGCTACAATCTGAAATGAACTTTATAATTCTTTAATAAAGTCTACAGTCGCTTGCACGTTGAAAATATGAATTAGTTCGCAGCTTTCGCTAAACAACATCAGAGGAACACACGAACAGTAAGACGACACCACTTACCAAAGTAAACAGACGCACTTACAGACTGCTCCGTATATTATTATAATATTAATTACACTACTTCATTAATGAATTATTTCCGAACATGGCGAACATTGATTCACCTCAAAATGCCACAGAGTAAATGAAACTACAGTAGCTATATCAAGAAAAATCAGTATACTAAATCTATTATAACATAATAATTACAACTTTTGTTTATCTGTGTCTCTATGTAGATAGCTGCCTGAATTAGTTAAGGCGACACAACATATAAAATTACATACATATATAAAATGATGATGAGTTTGTATATAAAGAGGTATATAGGTAAATTAAACTTTTACATATAATATTTTTGATGAATCTATGACATTAATAAGTGACAGAACTCTTAATCTGTAGATCAAATGAAGATTGTTGTTGCTGATCGATATATTAATATTTAATATATATCTATAATGGAGCCATCACTAGTTGTACATAATATGTAAGTTCAATAGATCAATGTGTATTTATAAAGAGCCATCGGCTGTCGTTTAACGTGACGCTCGTTAAGACAGACACTCGCCACCTTGGACAGTATAATTATCACTGAACATGGGGTGGCACAAGTCACGAGCTGGTGGAGGGCGGGGACGTGACGAAGATATTGAGACGTTTAAAACTGTTCCATAGTTGAAACACTTAAAGCAATATATACATAGATATAACTGTATTGATAATACTGAATCCGAGTTCATTGATGATAATTTCAATAGATATACTCGTATCTGTAAATCGCTGTCGCTTATGACTTGGGCCGAGGATGCTGCAGATGGTGAGTAAGCGGTTAATTTGGTGGAGATTTCTGAGAACCCTCACAGAGACGCGGCCCATTCATTATAACTAAGGATTTATTGACAGAACAGATTGATTTGTACGAGATCAACACACAGAGTGAGGGTCGGGTGAGAACGGGTGAAATAATACGTCTTGCGTTACATCCATCGATAATTGTTAGGTGATAACACTATCAGTGATGACAGATCGTTATCAGTGTGTAATAGTGTTATCAACAAAGTCTTAAAGCCTATTATCTCATGCTTGTATTCTGTATGAAACCCAATCGTTGAGTTTTACATTAAGTTCTTAATAAACATCTCGTTTCCTTTCGTATCCTGATCAAAGTTAAATTAATTTAATTCTAGTTATAATGATGCTGTACTATCATATGATCATCTCACGGAAAAAACATTTCTTAATTCTATATCTGGTCTTGTTAACTTAAACTATACGTAGCTTATTTTTGCTTTAGATACAAATTACATTTCCAAAAGTTTCCTATTTCTCTCAGCGGGATTTTTATTGTCAATACAAATCGCGTTTCCGTTTTTCATTCATATATAACGTTGCGAACATTTATGAATCAAAACCTGACTGATATTTTAAGATATAAACGCGTAGTATAGTAAGTTCTGCGTTTCGCTGTAACTACTAAATGATCTCCTAAACTTAACAACCACTCAATCATGAGAACACATTTAAATTAAACTATTAGTTTTCGGATTATACACGATTTTATTATTGTCAAAAACTACATACTCCATCCCGATGGGGTATATTATGTGACTCCGAAAAATATTAGTTTCATTTAAATGAAGAAAACTTGATAAAATCTTAGAAGTTAGATATAATTACATGAGATCACATACCTGAGTCTCAGTGACGTTCAACAGTTTCGCCATATCAGCTCGTTCTCCTGACGAGAGGTACTTCTTCACTTCGAACAGCTTCTCCAGCTCGAAGATCTGTCTGCCGGTGAAGGTGGTCCTGGCCTTCTTCCTCCTGCCAGCCTCCTCGCCCTCCTCGCTAGTGAGGGACCCCTCACCCCCCAGCGGAGACCGCACGTCCTCCGTAGACTTCTTTCGTTTTAGTTTGGGGTCTGTGAATCATAACCGAGCTTATTATCATCACGACTAACAATTAAGAGTCAAATGAAACAAGTTAAACATATAAAATGCACAACACTTTAATATCCAATCAGCTAGTTGTTGTAAATAATATCGAAAAACGTATTTTTTAACTGCTGTTTCTCGTGTTATTTTTACTGAATGAACGTATGTTTGTGTTAAACTCATAAGTCCTAACTTGTCCCAAACCGCGCGAAATAGCCATCATTATCTATCTTTAAATATAATTTATAATCGTTACATAAACGATTACCGATCACTATATTTAATACATAAAAAAATGTATATATACAATGAATATTATGTCAACTTGAGCGGAATCAAACCTACGATCACCTGAATGTCGCGTTCAATTCATTCAACAAATTGACCCGTCGCGCCCTGACTGTGGTTTTTTACTTTCTATTTATATTGTCAATCTCGTTTCAACATAACCACTGGTAGCTAAAATATACAATCTAATTGAATGCTATTTATAAAACATCAATTGCGAAGTGATAATTGGACGACATTTTCAAACTGTGTTTCATTAAAGCACCAAAAAACTAAGTTCTCTAAAGACTGTGTCAGTTCTACAATCAATATAATAATTTTCAATAATATTACATAATAACGTATAAGTAATCCGTAATCGTACGTCCGTACCGTCAGTTTCGCGTTCCGTAATCAATCCGTGCAGTTAGCTGGAAGCAATTAAAATATTTGGCCGTGAGACAAATATGCAAGTGTTTTACTACTGATCGACTGGGCGACTCTCGAACAATGCTCATCGTTTTAGGTCCATTCAGTAATTAGTATAAGTTACTGTGGACTTCTGGACTCGTGACAGACCATCTCATAATATATTATATACTTTATATAATATATTAAACTTTATAATCAACTAACACGACCGCTCAGAACAGTTCTTTGACTTGAATCTAAAATGACGAATTAATTTAACGACTTTTATTGTTTGTCGGCTTTTATTTAAAGTTTATTGTTATTTGGATACATTTTATTTTAATACTACATATATATACATTTTTATAAATGTCAACTAAACGCGGTAATACAATTAAATTGAAAGTAACTCTTAATGAGATGAATTTAAGATTCAATTTTTATTATGAACTTATTAATTTTAACAGAGTTTGTAATATATATGAGTTTGTTATATGTATAAAGTCATAGTTATAATGATTGTATGTATGTTATTGTGAGTAATTGATGAAAGTCGACCGACACAAGACGAGCCGATCACACACGACTCGTTTAGTTGTAACTCAAACAATGTATTGTAATATAATAATGTTCTAATATAAAACGTCGTGAACATAACGGTGCCGTGTTACGTTGTGATTTACGTTATGATACGTTGTTAGAACGTAACACACGTAACACGTACGGCGAGAGGCCTCCGCTTTAACAACCCCATATGCGACATTTTTTTTATCCTACGTTCATTTAAAACTCCGTTTTGAAATCCATACCATTAATTAGCATAAATAACTTAACAATAATAATAATTAAATCAAATTTATACAGTATAAAATGTAATTTATCATTTCAATGAGCGTTAGCAATCCGCTCCGCTTATCAGCGTGTCCTGGTAATAATACCGCTGACGAGAGCGATTTAAGAATCACACGTAGTTCACAGAGATATTGATTTCTTTCTAGGAACGAATCGTGTTTCAACATGGTGACAAACAAACACTCATTATATATATACTAAAACTTTAGGTACCTACATTAGGTAGGACACCGCCACTTACACATAATATATAAGTGACGTCACACTTACATCATACTACATACTACATCATAGTAAAGTGTAGTTGTAGTATGAGGAAGATTACGGAAACTATGATAGTATCCTTTCGGAGACACTTGGTGGCTTTCGCTCGGTTGTTAAGTTTTATAAATGGAATTAAAAAAAATAGTAATAAAGTAAGTTAAGGTTCCAGCTCGGACTACAAACATCAGAATTAGTTGTTGATGAACAGTGAGATGTGCTCGGAAGAGTTATAAAAAATGAGGAGATTTTGATACAGTACTAGAGAAACACATTAACGATTAAATAAAACCAACAGAGTTAGGGTTGAAACGATTCAGAACTATTTAAATGATTGTAATGTACTTATGTCAATCTACCGGGACAATAAGAAGCAATGTATATAAGAAATTAGATAAACGGAAAGTTTAGACGTTTTTTAAAGAAAAAAATCGTATCAAATTATACAAGGAAACAACCAGATAAAGTATTAGTCGTAAGCAGTGGCGGCTGTACCTTAAGTGCGCCCGTGCGCTGAACCACCAATTCAAAATATTTAAAAATTACAAAATATTATGTCATCTTAATTTTTAAATTACCATTTTAATATTTATTTTTTAAACATACAAAAAGGTATAAAAAATTTAATTTCCAATTATGGTCAAAAAGTTTGAGCGCTTTACTAAACTAATATCTCGTGCGCTCCGGCGAGTGCACGAGGACTGCTAATACATCTTGTATGAGACACGCATCAATACGCCTGGCGCGTGAGACAAAAGATAGTTCATAGAAATGTACCGAGTAACGAGTCGGTTCTCGCGCGCCGCACGGCCGAACATTACCGAGAGCACCCGATGTATGACGTATTGAGCCGGCCGGCAAGGGGCCGGCCGAAAGGATGGGTGCTATGATTGACATTTCGTTAATCGTTATTGGTATTGTTTCAACTTTCACTGTATGCGTGACGCGTTAATTCGTTATTGTTTATAATTTTTCCGTAATTCGTTTTAATTTTTATTTCGTTTCTATAATAGAACTTTTATTCTGTACTGTGTTTTTTATTAGTTGAAAATGAGTATAAATATTGATTATATTAAAGAAAATAACAAAATTTTTCAAAGTAAAGTGAACATAAAATTGGCCGGGCCGCCACGGCCCTTTTTAAATTTAAAACAAGAGTGTAAATCGAAAAATAAAGCATTTATACGAAGTTTTAAAAGTGAAATGTATAATAGAAAGAAATGGTTGTGTGGATGTGAGCGTCTTAATGCATTCTTTTGTTTTCCTTGCATTATTTTTGGCGGAGAATCGATTTGGACAGAAACTGGAATCAGATTTTATGTACAAAAAATAAACATATTTTATGTCAATTGTTGTTTTTGTCAATATTTTAGTAAAGTGAACCACCAGTTCGATAACCCACCAGCCGCCACTGGTCGTAAGTAATATGAACAGCGATGTTGTGGACATAGAACACTACTCGACTAATATGTATTCTCTGTATGATCGGATCCGATAACAAAGATTTTTCTTCATCAATATAAAAAAACGAGGTTCCAGGTGTTAGTAGTCAGTTGAGGAATGTTTATCACACAGTTAACGTCCAACAAAAATTAACAATCATCAATATAAGATGTCTTCTGATTGTGTAAGGAGGGGAGCTGTAAACAGACGCGGGGCCTCGTAAACTGTTAAATGTTTATTGACATGCTCCCGAATGATGTAACTCAAACAATGGACTCGCCGCAAACAAACAGGCGATAAAATGAACAGCGGTGGAGACCTCCGCGGGCAGAGGAAACGGATCACACCGCCTGGCCGTGCGACCAGGACTTGGAACGATCCGAGGCGTCTTCCACGAAGGATCCATCGAACCCTTTAATAGCCCTCACTGTTCCCGGAACAACTAAATCCGTCCACGCAAAAAAATACATACTATATGTCGCGAGGTTTCGATTCAATGGACACACACAGTCACAGTCACAGTAAAATAGTATTTATTATACTTTATAGTCTCAAGCGATCAGAAGCTCGACTCGTTAAACGCGGACGTCGGAGATCAAAGGCTCTAAATAAACCACAATTTATAGCGAACCGAAGAAAAGAAAATATTACAAGTATACTACTAGGATCCTGGCGGTAATTAAGCGACTAATGACTCTGATTGATGGCGCACTCACGAGACCCGGAGCGATGTGTCTGTGGCCGTTTATGACTTACAACTATATACATACATACACACTGAACGCGTGCCACAACCTGTCGTGTAATGTTCTGTTTACTATTTATATATTTCAATATTATGATTGTTTTATCACGCTCATTGTTTCTTTATAGTAACAGACGCAATGATTTTTATATCTTTAGATTTTTCTCTTTAGTATTATGTATTAATTGATTATTTTTGTCCTCTGTCTCTCCTACCACTACATTAAACGTACTATATCTTTGGGTTCGATCTATGTATTTATTTTACATAATATATTTAACAGTTCCTGACTAATATGATTTCTTATTATATTCGTATTCTCAGCGACCAACTCTCTCTATGAATGATCTCAGTATGTTTATTAACAAATATACATTATAATGTTCAAACATTTAAACAATTATCAATCAATAGTTATAACATTCAAATCTATATTGATATCTCATTCGAGTATTATCTACCGGATATCCAGAGCCAAGTATTCACCGGCGGGTCATTAAAATATCTCTTACTGCTCGATTTATATGAACTCGAGATTAAAGACAGTCGTACTGAGAGAACAGATCGCGTATACATAACACATACATACATACAACCAACATGGCGGACCGCGGAGCTTAGACATGTTCATGTATTAACAGAATTTTTAATATATAACAAATTTTCCTAATATGAATGTCGATCGCTCGCTAGTGTATCGAGTCCTCGATAACTAACACAATAATAGCCGTGTAATGGTCACTTTAAACAGAGAGCCAACACACCGTCGCATACAAATTAACTGACGCGAGAATCAAACGATTATTTCGCAAATGACTTCAGACGTCAGGGCTGACTTAGACGCGTTATATATATAATATATATTGTTATAGAGAATCACTGACTCGTTTAAATTACTAACGATCGATCTTAATTAGTTTTTAAAATAATGTCAACACTACAAATACTATTATTAAGTAGAACATCATCCGCATGACAATTAGTATCGGTGACAGATGTCAACTGTTGTGTGTGTGTGTGTGTGTGTGTGTGTGTGTGTGTGTGTGTGTGTGTGTGTGTGTGTGTGTGTAGTGACACACACGCACACAGCCAGCCGGGCGGCCGGCCAGTCGGCCAGTCAGTCAGCCAGCCAGCCGAGCGGAGCCGGTGACAGCGGGCATTGATCACGATGATGATATGAACACATCCAGCTGAAGATTGACGCAATAAACCCACCTTACAAATAATACCGATAAATTGATTAGCCATCTAAAAATAAATTGGCAACCCTAGTGACGGACGCAGCTGCATCGCCCGCTAGCTCGCCCCGACGGCGACGCACGAGGACAGCGCGTGGACCTTAATGACATACTACTAAGAACTGTTTTAGAATGGCGCTTTCTTTTCGTCCGGTAATTAAGTTGGTCGCGAACACTTAGCGATAAATGAGGAATCATAAAACCGAGTAGCGTTCTTATTGCCGAGTATTAATGGCTATAATTGAATACGTTTTTGTTTCTCATGTACGTAACTGTCGTGTAATGGCAGCGATTTAATGCTACAATAAATGCAAGTATGAGCGAAGATTAGGCTATTTATGCTTCGACGTGAGATAGGCCAATGTGAGCTCTTTCCCATGCTATTAGAGTTTGAATTCGATCGTCCACGCGTCATCCCGCTGATTTCATACTTCATATTTATTTGGGAGTGTCTTTATTGAACATATTATTCCATTTATTTTTATTTCGGTCGACGTCAAGTAAAACTAGCGAAAACCGATGGGGTCGCAGGTAAATATTATACGATGAAAACGGTTCCTAAGGAAATAGTCTCCTGTCACGTGTGTCACCTCGTAAGTCGTATCTGACAGTTGGAACACTGTGAGCGACTCGTCATCAATGATTGAACCGTATCAGAGATCGGTGGTCATGATGTGACGTCACAACAATAAACGGACAATCAATAAAGCTAATTACCCGACATTCCCTCGGACGCACGTGTTCACATACAGACACAGAATTAATATCATTATACGACCGATGACATACACCAGCCGAGTACACCGCCGCGCGCACTCACACCGGACCTCGCGACTCGGCCGGGTTATAACGGACGGTGTGAGGAGATGAAGGACCTAACTAAATTAGAACACTAACGAGAAGAAACTCTATCAAGCGAGACATAAGACTCAAAGTCACATGTTTGAGATATATCTGGTTAGGAAAGAGTGAAGTTGAAAAGTTGAGTATAACATAACCGCAAGTTTCGTGGAAGCGTTTGTTTATTTGTCAGCGTGTGTGGTTTATTGTTTGTATCGCGGGCGGCGTGTAGACTGTAGGACCGCTCCGCCGCGCCAATCGATGACCTATTAAACGGCTGATTTGAGTTAATCGCTCCCAACGATTCAGTTAATAAGCACTGCAGTTCACTTCAAAGGAAATGTACGAATCATTTATTAGACGGTTATAATGCTCACGTTTATAAATTGTGAAAATCGAATGAGCCGATCAATGAACGGATTACTGAATGGAAGCTTCATAATGTGCGCTATTAATATTAAACTAGTACAGACCTCTGCCGTATTTGTCCTCGTCGTCGCCGGTCCACGTGGGTGACTCCTTGGCCTTGTTGACGGACAGGTTGAGAGGCTCGTCTGTCTTCCCGTGTTTGTCGTACCCTCCCTCCCCTCCCCTCGCCCCTCTCTGCAGCAGCTGTTCCTGCAGCCTGTTCTTGTGGACGCTCATCTTCCTCTCCCCCCCCTCCTGTACCTGCACCCCCTTCTCCTGACTGAACGTCTTCTTGTCGAAGTTCCTCTTGACGTTGATGAGCTGACTCACCGCGGACCTCTTCTCCTCCCTCGCTTCATTGCTCCTCGTTAATCCTAATATATATTCTATGGTGTGTGGCGTGGGTTTCTTGGGTGGTTTCCCGTACACGTGCGGGTGCCAGGAGGTCTCCCCCCCCTCGGTCCCCCCGTCCTCCACGTCGCCTCTCCCCTCCTCATCGTCTACGACCAGTTCGTCCTCCTTATCGTCGACAGTGATCTTCTCGTCGGTCGTCAGACTGTCCTCGTCTCCGTAGCTGTACTCGGTGTAGGCGTGTCCTCGCGCGAGCAGCAGGTCCTGCGTCAGGTAGCCACTACAGACCACGGCCTGCATGTCTCCGCCGGTCCCCGTGGCTGGTTCACATTCGGGCGCGTCTCTTTCCACGCTCATGTGTGGGTCTCAACCGCGCGCGGAGCGAGAGCAGCGGTTCATGTTTGTTTTTATGATTGAGTTATCGTTTAATAGCCACTCGGAATCGACGGCCGCGGATCGTTTGATGTCGAATGCGGCTTTGAAGTCGCTGCGATGTTTTCACCGCTTCCTGTAACAAACGGACTATTTGAGACTAATTGACTGAGTGTGGCCGATCTCCAGCCCAGGGCTCCGCGTCGGCTGTTTTGGATTACAAGTGTTTCGTCTAAATTTACGAGCGGGCTTTAGGGAGACTGCACACTTGCGGGTTCGGGTCCATTCAGTAGTTAGTGTGCCGTTTACTAACTGGGCGAGCGTGAACGTGTACAGAGATCGTTTCTATTTCAGTAAGCGGAGTTCAAAAGTTTTTTTTACAATGAAACAAATATCAAAGGAATCGAACGCAAAAAGCCTGCGACCCTCCGACAAGGATTCACAGATGAAAAGCTAACAAAACTAAATATCCCAATACCGTGCTCTATCTGTCGGCTCGGTCCGCTCCCCCCCCCCCCCCCCCCCGCCCCCGCAGCCCCCCGGAGCCCCCAACGACCCCACGAAGGCCCCGGGACTCACACACACAAAAATAACAATCGTTCTATCATCGGTAAGCGCTGATTGATTTTTATTGGATGGTTTTAGGGTTGTCACTGTTAGCTTTTGTTTGATGCAATTCAAACATAAATATTGTCGACTTGCGTCTAGAGTTACATTAGAAACAAATGACTGTAACGTATATGACCAATGACTCGGTGTTTAGATGCGCGGGAAACTGTAAGCGGAAACTGATTTCGGCGTGTGTCAACCATGAGAGGGATAAATGCCGTCAAATTGAAACAAAGCCTGCGAGCGCGGCGCCCTCTGACGGCCGTGTATCAAAACGATACATTATTAGCTGTGGATTGTGTCACAATAACTAATACAGACTGTATAACTTATGTATATATATGAATGACGACTGATTTATTATTTGATATAAAAACTATAACCTTTATTTTAACCTACAGAGATTGCAGTTTCAAAGTTTTAAAACTATATGATGATAATTAAATATTTTTTACAATATAAACACGAATATTAACTCACAGAGTATAACACGCGTTACTTCAAAGTGATTCCATGAGTATTGAGTCATCATCAAGTACTTAAATTAATTTCGATACATGTTCGTGTCACAGACATTAATATTATAAATATAATGACACGCACTTTGTACTCGTTATATCTTAATTCCCATACAATCCCTCAATCCTTTAAACTTCTTTTCTCTCTATATATATGTATATACCGCGTGTTTGTCTGTTTGTCCGCTTGTAGTCAGTACTCCGCGACCTGTTATAAAGTCCGTGTTCAATTATGCACGTCTTCGTCTTTCTATATTTAGTAACTGTAATATCAAATGGAACCTTATTACATATGACACGAACAGTACATTTTACTCACTATTATCTAACGATCGTTTAAGTAATTTTTCTTGGAAATTTTTTCGTTGAGAAAAAAAATTTAAACAATTAATTTTTACTTTCAATGTTAATAATTCACTTCTTTCAATCTTTGTGAATATTTTAAACAAATGGTTAAATTTTTAAAAACAATTTCTTGATTTTCGTAACTTTATAAATCCCTAAGTATTTATATATTTATGTTCTTTTTTAAACATTTTGTTTGTATGTAGTTATGTATGATTATTAATTCTTTAGCTGTCTTTTAACAACCGATTATGAATCGATAAACGGGGTTCAATGAACCACGACTATAATTTTAATTAATACTCTAGGAAGCGACGTGTGTGGGCCCTTTGATGTCACCGACGGACAGACGGACATCTAAAATAAAATAGCCTCTAACACGTTCTAATAAGAGCCATAAAACGTGATGAGGCGATAATTAGAATCCGTCGGAAGTTGGCGAATCAAAATGGCTGCGACAAAGCTGAGCTGTACATTTCCTGAGTTTGATATTCGCTTTGATTTTTATTGGATATAATGTTCGAGGATATCTGGCGGAGACGGACGGACGTGAGGAGTTACGGAGATCGACCGAACATGTACTGGTGACGGACAGACTGACACATTATACTATATGACGTACGAGAAGAAACGCGAACAGACAAATAAACAGACTAAAATAATGAATATTATAATGAAAAATGGTATAACATATATACAATAATAATAGAAACAAAATATCTGTTACTGTTGACCGCGTTACTCAAACAATATATGAACATTCTGAAACTGCCGACGCCACTTAGTGCACTGCATTAAATATAACACGCCATTTTATATTTAATGACCCAAGTAATAACGGTTATAATGCTCTAAAACGTTTATTAACACATAGCCTAGTGTTTTTATGACGTCAATTGAAAGTATTTGTAAGCACAATTAACGATACTGTCGGCTAAACATTAACTAATATATGATACATATTATATACATATATATTAATACATATGTATGAACTATGAATGATTCCCTAGTACGAGTACGGTAATGAACACAAAACATAATAAACCATAAGTAATTACGTTAAATTAAAACTATTTTCTTTTCATATTAAACACGAATTATGAAACTGTTTTGTATGTATTTATCTAACAACAAAATCTCTTTACTTTCATACAATGGACATTGATAGTGAAGAAAATATTTGTAAACATAAAAAAAATTGTGATAAATTCAAAAGTTTATAAAAAATAGTTCATTAAACAAATTAATAATATTAAAGAAATAATAAAATATATACTAAGAACAGAAATATATATATATATATATATATATATATATATGTTTTTATTTCATTACCTATACATATATATATATATATATATATATATATATATATATATATATATATATATATATATATAGGTAATGAAATAAACAAAGAAATTTATAAACAAAACTTTCTTATTCAAGTAAATAGTTACCGCGATTTCATTTGAACTATTCAATAAGTTATAACTACAAAGGATTTAACATTAAAGTTTAAGCTACGATTAACTTAAACGGTTAACATTTAACTTAATTCGAATTTCATTATCAGTTAAGAAAATAATCTGTCGTTTTTATACGTATCTCACCTCACAGACGTGCTTAACTTTGTATAATTTACGTGGAAATTAGATCAAGCGGCGGCTTCACACATGACACACACAGAGACAAAAAAAACTACATTTTACGTATGTTTTAATATAGCTTTAGTTATTTCTGTCAATATGTATTATTGTGTGATCAGTAAAACATTTTCTTTAATTGCAACATTTGATTCATCTGTCAAAGTTTGGAGAGAAATCGACACATTGTTGTATATGTATTTGTAAAAATAAGAAAAAAAAACATTGATATTATAATATAGAACGATACTAATTTAAGTATTAATTACAAGCTTTTATATGCTTTAAAGAACAATTATTGGACGTAATATAATATATTTATGCAACTTTCTTTGACTTTTAAAAATAAAAAAACAAATATATTTTAAACTTTAAATATATTAATAAACGATGACTTTTTATGATTTATTTATAAAGATGTTGATAATTGTTTATCTGTGTAATAAACAGATTAAGAAAAGACGATCCGTAAGTTGTCTGAAAAAGGTGAAAATCTTTTTGGACTTTAACTTACTTAAAATTTTAAGGTTGTATGGACGTTGGTAACCTATCGTCTTTTTAACTATTAATATAATATTCATCACGTTAAATATATATTGTAATTAATTAACTACTTACATTCATATAACCAACAACACCTAACAAGATTTGATTTTGATTTCTGATTATTTCCTTATTATTCACAATAATTATGTTTTAATAATTGTTTATATCGTCTTATAACTCGTAAAAAATGTATACACTTTTAAATAATTACTAAACGATCAGAAGCCGTTAAAACAAACATATGTCATATAAACAAAAAATTACACGTTATTACTTTAAACCAATTATTTATGTTTATATAAATATTTTATTTACTATTAAAAGTATATGTATTTGTTCTCTGTCACGTAAGCTGATCTTTTTCGTGTATATATTGTCGCAACTGTTCCTCTGTTTACATTTTTCCAAGCTGTCATTTCTGTGACACAACGTGACAGGAACAACAATAACACTTAAAGTATAAGGTCGAGGGTGATGTACGACAAGAGTATTAAAAGTTAATAAAGTTTATTTATTATATTTTTAATTTAACTATAATTATAACTCGAATGTTGTTAAAGTTAATAACAGAGTTATATTTCATTTACGAATTACACAAATTGTTATGTTTTTGTTTCTCATCCATCATCAAAATACAACTGTTTGTCTCAAATGAATGTATTTCGTCAATTATGTGAAATAAATAAACAATTATTGCAACGTATAAAATGTTTTAAGAAGCTAACAAACATATATTTAGAATATTTTGTCATAAAAAGTTAAAAGCAACACAATTTAAATTCCGATACTTTAAATTATGCCATATCTTATCGTTAATTGATTCAACATCAATCACTATCGGTATCGAAAAGAATGTTGACATAACGAACGAAAAAAATACATTATAAAAACAATATCATCTCAAAGTAGCGACAATCATCAGGCCTCAATAAAAACTTTATAATGTAATCATTACTCACCAAACAGGTCCGATATCCGAATCAATCATCACACTGAAGGAACCCAGTTAAATGTCACAGTCGGAAAAAAAACAAACGTCAATTTAACAAAAGTAGTGTCAACGCATTATGGCGGGAACAATGGCGTAGAATCGCTTACGAGCGAAGTTTGCCGAACGTTTAACGTGCTCGTGTGTGTGCGTGAGGTTGCCGGTGTGTCTGTGTGTGTGTACTGAGCTGTTAACGCGACGATCCTCACAGTTAGACTAACTCACATCCAAATCGCTTAATTTTATGAGTTGTTGCCTTCTCCACCCCTCGCGCGCCGTGCGCTGTGACTTTGGAGGGACGTACTTAATACTATGAACGAAACTTAACTA